TGGGGGTGGGGTGGGGGGGTGGGTGGGGGGGGTGCGCGTCTGGAGGGGGGGTGGATGTGAGCGAGAAGGGGATGGGGGCGCAGGGACCGTGCGAGACTGGGTCTATGCCGCGCGGCGCGGGGCAGGGACCCTGTGGGAGGCCGTGCAGGGGATGCTGTGGGCTTCTGGGCGCGGAGCTCACTGACCTCGGCACCCTCCCGACAACAGCCAAAGCGTTCAACCCCCCCTCAACGCCACCTCGCCGTCACAGAGAGCAGCAGCACCTCGGAGGAGTACCGCAACCTGCTCAGCCGCATCCTGGACTGCTTCGTGTGCAGGCTGCGTGTCCTGAAGGAGCATGCGCCGCGCTTCGCAGAGTGAGATGCAGGGTTTGCTGGGTTGCTTGGGTGTCCTGGAAAGTGCTGATTCCGTCCATCTGTGCATCAATTGCCCTGGAAAAATGGCCGTGTACCAACCTAATCGGTCCTTAACACCCACGGTCTCCACACCCTTACCTTCCAACCGGTGCTCGTGCGCAGGGAGGCTACGGCCATGGTGGCCGCACAGGCCGCCAAGGCGGCAGAGGCGTCGGCCAGTGAGGCAAAGGCGAGGAGGATCGTGCAGGCCAAGCGCAAGCAGCAGGAGAGGCGTGCGGCGGCAGCAGAGGCCGCCGCTGCGGCAGCTGCTGCGGAGGTCACGCCCCCTGCGATGGGAGACGGCGACGACCAGCCGACCGCGGCGGCGCCAGGTGGTGGCCCCGCCCCTGGTGGAGAGGTGGCTGACAACGACGGCGACGTGAAGATGGAGGAGGCGGGGGTAACCCCCGCACTCGGCAGCACCGCCGACCCAGGCTCGACCGCGCCTCCCGCCGCACCCGCAACCACCGCCGCGCCGGCAGCGACGGCTGGTGCCGATGCCCGAGAGCCCATGGAGGTGGATGAGGGCGCGGTGAAGGAGGAGGAGGCCGGGGAGCCCGCCTCGGCTGAGGCGACGCAGGCGTCCGTGCAGGCGCCCGAGGATGGGAGCGACGCTGCGCCTGGCGAGGCGACCGGGGACGCGGCCGACGACGCCAGGATCGACGCCGAGTTTGACGCCCTGCGCCAGGTTGGCCGGCGCAGGGGTTGTTGTGGATATGTATGCTTGAGGGGTGAATTGAAAGCTGGTCCCGAGCCCTGGCTGTCCTGCTGCACAAGCCTGTCGCCCTTCAACGATGGGCTTGTGCCATGATAATGACAGGAAATCACTGCCAACAGAGGCCTGACCCCCCCCCCCCCCCCCGCCCCCCCACTCAGAATGCGTACAAGCCGCTTATCCCCACCATGGCGTCCGTCCCTGGCAAGGACAAGGAGCTGCAGGAGTACAAGGGCCTGCTGCAGACGGTGCTGAGCTGCCTGAAGAGCGTGCTGTACACGCTGGTGGCCTTCCACAGCAACCGTGGGCTGGCCACCCCTCTCTCCTTCCCTGTGGAGCCCTGGAGCTCTCGGCCAGGCGACCTGGCGGTGGTCTCCCGCATCCTGGCCGCGGGCCTGCCCACGCTGGCGCTATACCGCGCCTGGCCGGCGGCCGCGGCGGCCGACATGCGTGAGCAGTTCGCCGACCTGTTCACCGTGCTGCAGGACGGGCGCGACTTCTGCGACGTGCTCGCGCCGCGGCTGCCCGCGCTGTTCGACGCCGTGGCGGCGGACGCGTGGTACCTCCCCGTCGTGCGCCACCTGGTTGACGGCGACCAGGCGGCGCGTGCCGGGGTCAACCGCCACATGGTCGTGGCGTTGCTGCGCCACCTTGTGGGCGAGCGCCTCGGCGCGCTGGGCGAGCCCGGCTCCGCAGAAGGCGCGCTGGCTGCGCAGCTGCTGGAGGCCTGCTTTGAGGCGCTGCCGCGCATGCAGGCCGCCGACGCGGCCAAGGCCGCGCAGGTGCCGCCCGCGCCCGCGGCGGGGGGCGGCATCGAGGACGCAGTGCTACCGCACGTCCTGGCCTTCACCCAGCACGTGTATGCGCGCCTTTCTTTGGATGGGCCCGATGCAGAGGTGTGGGAGTGGGATGTTTGTCTGTGTGTGGTTTTCAGGGTGGCGGGGGTTAAGCACTGTGCGTCTCTGTCTGTGCAATGGGATACTCTTGTTCCGTCTCAGGGGATCCCGCTGCGCGGCCTGCATGGCACAGGCCCGACCTGCACAGCCTGACTGCCCCCATGCCCCCACCCCAAATTACTGACCCGTGACCCCAACACTGCCCCTTCCAAAACAATAAAACATGAAGGTGCACATGCGGTTGTTGCGCTCGCTCTTCTTCGCGCTGGCGACGGGCAAGTTTTTGAAGGTCCAGGCCGCCTTTGGGCACACCGGGCTGCACGTGCGCGTGATTGACCTGACCCTGGGCATGATGGCGGGCCCCACCCCCTCCCCCGCGGCCGGCGAGCTGTGCGCGGAGCTGTGCCTCCTGGCCCCCGCCCGACTGGAGCACCTGATCCCGGTGATGCCGCGCCTGGCGGCGGCGCTGGTCACGGCGCTGAAGGGCTCCGACCGCGCCGCCAGCGTGGCACTGCGTGTGCTGGACGTGTGGGTGGACTCCTTCAACCCGGAGTTCATCGAGAAGAGCATGGCCGCACACATCCGCCCGCTGATGCAGGCGCTGTGGTCCCTGATCCGGCCGCCGCCCGCGCCCTTTGGCGCGCGCGTGGCCGAGATCCTGGGCAAGATGGGCGGGCGGTCGCGGCGCTGGCTGCTGGACCCGGCGCAGGTGGCGCACAAGGCCATCCCCGAGTACGGCTTGCGCGTGATCCTGGGCTTCCAGGCCCACACCTCCTTCCTGGTGCCCCTGGACCGCTCCATGCACTACGCGCTGGGCGCGCTGGCCGCGGGCGAGCCGCACCTGCGCGCCGCCGCGCTGCGCCTGTTGCACCTCTGCGTGGCGACGCTGGCGCGCCTGCGGCTGCCCCCCGCCGCCGCCGGCGACCCGCGCCTCGCGCCGCGCCTGCTGCAGCTCGCGCTGTTTGCGCCGGGGGCTGAGCCGCCGGCGTTGCCCGCCGACGCGCACTGGCCCGCGGAGCTGGGGGTGAAGACCAAGAAGCAGCACGCCGCGGAGCGCGCCATGCTGGAGACGCTGCTGGTGGCAGCCATGACCGCGCCGGCGGTGCCCGACGCGCTGCAGGCCGAGGCGGCGGCCTTCGCGCGCGGCGTGGCGCGCCACTTCGCGCTGCTCTTCGCGGCGGGGTGGGGCGCGCAGACGCCGCCGCCGGCGCCGCCCTCCTCGCGCCACGAGCGGTACGCCGCGCTGGGCGGCGTGCCCGCCGCGGTGGCCACGCTCACGCACCTGCACCCCCACCTCCTGCTCGACGCCTTCCACGCCGGGCTGGCCTCGCCGGACGCGCGCGACCGCGACGCCATCATCGACTGCATGCGCGAGTTCCTGGACACGCTGCTGGCCGTGGGGCGCGCGCAGGGCGGGGGGCGGCCGAGGCCCGGCGACGACGAGGCCGACTCGGGGGCGGGGGGGAGGGAGGCGGGCGCGAGCGGGTCGGGCGAGCGCGCGCCGGCTGGGCAGCCGGCGCGCGGGGGGGCCGCCGCCGGGCCCCAGCTGGCCGCCGATCCATCCCGCGACGGCGCCGCCTCGCCCCCGGGGGTCACATCGCCCCCGCCCCCGCCCCAGCCGCCGCGCTACGTCAACGTCGTGCACGACCTGGTCATGCGCTGCGTGCACTGCTGCTACGGCGAGACCTGGGCACACAGGCTGGGCGGCATCGCCGGCCTGCAGCTGCTCGCCTCGCGCATGCCGGCGGCGACGCTGCAGCGCCCCGCGGTGCCACTCCTCCGCGCCGTGCTGGCCGTGCTGCGCACGCTGCCCACGCACGCGGCCGGCCAGCGCCGCGCCATCACCCGCGTGCTCACCTTCGTCCTGCGCCGCTGCCTGGGCCTGCCCGTCGGCGACGGGGAGGAGGAGGGGGGGGGGGTGCAGTCCGGGAGGGCGAGGGGTCCGAGGGGGCGACGGCGACCACCGCGGCGCCGGCGCCGCGGCCCGGCGCGGAGCGCGCGGCGCTGGTGCGCTCGCTGGTGGAGACCGTCATCCGCGAGCTCGTCAGCAGCAAGAGCAACGACGCGGTGCGCGCCGGGGCGGCCGAGTGCCTGGGCGTCTTGGCCCAGGCCCAGGGCTCCACGGTGTCGGAGGTGCTGGGCTCCATGATGGACAGGCTGGCGGGCATCAGCGACCGCAGGCTGCTCCCGCTCCGGGCCATCAACGCGCAGGTGCTCGAGGCGGGGGGGGGGTGACACAGGTGGTGGTTATGGTTTGGGGATTGGGGAAGGGAGTCCTGTTCAGGGAGGGCTCGCTGTGGAATGTGAGGAGGGAGCATGGGGAGGGGTGCGAAGGGATTCCCCAGGTTCCAGAGCATCTTTTAAAGGACTCGGGGCAAGGATGTCGTGCGCTGGAGTGCCGCCCCAACCCTTGGAAAAGACCGCGGAGTTTGTCTGGCCCTCCTACACCCCCACCCTTGCACTCCCTCGCTCCTGCAGACTAGCTACGCCCACAGCATTGCGTTTGTGATCGAGCACTGCCCCGAGCAGCTGCCGCTGACCCAGGAGGTTGTCAGCTTCCTGGCAGACGCCTGCACCATCATGGAGACGGACATGGCCAAGGTGGGTACCAGGGAGGGAATGAGCCGTCGGAGGCTGGGGAGCATGCTGGCTGTTGGAGGGTTTGGAGGTTTGGCGGCATGGCTGCAGAGGCTGCCAACGCACAATCACAAGCAGCCCATGTCCCTGCCGGCCTTCCTTCGCCCATGCCAGCCATGCCCACTCTGCAGGTGACGGCCCGGGTGACAGTGCGTGGGCAGCCCCCCCGCGCGGAAGTCGTGGGGAAGCTGCAGGTGGCGTGCGTGGAGGTGCTGGTGGCGGCGCTCGGCTGGCGGGCCTTCAGGTGGGCAGGGCAGGGGCTGGGGGGCGTATAGGTGGGAGAGGAGAGGGAGGGCAAATGGGTGTTTTCTTCGCCCGAGATTCGAGTGTTTTGCCGGGACGGGGGAATAGGCCCCCAAACGGTTGTGATGGACGAGCTCAGCATGACATCGGGTCTGGGTCCATAGTATGGAGCTCTGCCTTCCCGTAGCACCTGCCGGCCCCTCCATAACGACCCTGCTCTGCCCCCTCTCCGTTCTCAGGGAGCCAGAGGGACCCGAGGCTGTGCAGCGCACGCCTGCGGGAGAGGTCCGCACGACGCTGCCGAAGCTTCGGGAGCGCATCACCAAGGTACTGCGGAGGTTGGGGATACCGAGGGTCGCAGCAGCAGCAGGTCTTGAGGAGCAGGGATGAGGACAGATGCTCAGGCGTGTGCCCCTCCCCCTTAAGCCCATAGTCAAGCAGCTCACCACTTACCCTCTCCGCCATGGCGACCCCGCTCTGACCAGGTCTTCATCACCGAGCTGGGCTCGCCCAACGAGCGGGTGGTGGAGCTCAGCGCGCAAGGCGTGAGGCTGTCCATCAAGCACAGCATCATGCAAAAGTCGGTGCTGCAGGAGGCGCTCAGGCGAGGCAGTGCATGGGAAGAAGATCGATGAAGGATAGTGGTCGCCTTGCTCTGTGTCACTGGCATGGTGCTGATCATCCCCATGGTGTTGTGCGCTGGATGGTCAGGCACAGCGTAGCTGATACGTCCCTTTGTATGAACCTCCTTTGTCCCTAGGCCCATCCTGACGGACCTGGCCTTCTACCACAAGCTGACCCTGCAGCTGCTCACCCACCTCCACCACCTCCTGGTGGGTGCACGCAATCTATGTGGAGGCGGTGTGGTGGGTGTCGATTCCCTGGCGGCGTTGTACATGTCTGCGGGAGACCCACCTTGTGAAGTGACCCTCTCAACACCCTCCCAGGACCTGCTGTCGGGTCAGTTCAATGTCACGTTGGGCGAGAAGATCACGGAGCACCTGAAGAAGTGGGTGGACGCGGAGAAGTGGATCAGCCCCCAGCCGCCACAGCCGGTGGGTTGCTATAGTGGGGTGGGGTGGGGAGGGATGCTTGATATGCGCAGGGCATGGTAGGCAGGGGGGAAGGGCAGACTGGTGGCATGTGGCACTTGCGGTCATGCGCTAGTTTCCCATCCCAATCCCCCCCCACTTCACGCTTCCAGGTGGCCTGGGAGCCGGGCACGGAGTGCGAGGTGGCTGCCTCCATGCTGGACATCTTCCACAAGCTGCCGGCGCAGGCCAAGCGTTTCCTGGAGTCCCAGGGTGCGGAGCGTTGGGTGTTGAGGGCTGGTAGATTGGATCATAAAATCCTGCGAAACGCCTGGGCAGTTTTGTGGCAGACACTGCATTCTTGAAAAGGAATGAGGGGCAGCCTGGTCGCGATACCGTGCAAATGTGCCCTACTACAATCCGGGTAAACAGTGCCCAAAGTTTCCCAACTCCCACCCGCGCCCCCTTCTGCCTCCACCCTGCTTCCCTCCCCAGCCCCTTTTCCCCCCTTCTCACATCCATCGTCCTCCCACTTTGTCGTGCCAGGGGACCGGCCCGGCATCGTGGTGCTGACAATCGGGCTGGAGAACGCGCTTCCCAAGCTTCCGGGCCCACTGCAGCCCTCGCGCCTGACCTCGCCCTACCGCCCCGCGCTGACGCGCTTCCTCAACGTGTACCCCCAGGACACTGTCGACTACTTCCTGGATGTGTCGGGTGAGGACTTCTCTGTGTTTGTGGGCGAGGGGGGGGGGGCCGATCACTTTGGGGGTCAGGGGAAGGGGGGCGGTCACAAGGGTGGTGCTTGATGCCGTACATGGTCGACAGGAAGGGACTCTGATGCCCTCTGCGACGTCCAGGACCACTTGCAGCGCCCGGTTTCTATGAACGTGGCAGGGCCTGGTTGACCTCAAACGCCTGCCCCTCCCAGACGAATACCCAACCACCCCGACCTCTGTCCCACAGGCCGGCTGGCCAACGCCGAGTACTTCCGGCGGCTGCTGGACGTCATCCGCACGCCTCTGGGTCGGCCCATCCTGGACGCCCTGGCCGGGCAGGCCACTCGCCTCGCGCTGCTGGTCCGCCCCGAGGCCTCTGGCGGCGCGGACGGCGTCGCCGGCGAGGCCGCACCAGTCCCGCTGGAGGCTGCCCTGCATGTGGTACACCTCGTGCGCGCCATGACCAAACTGCTCCCGGACTGGCTGCCGCACGAGCTGTATGCCGTGCTGCTCGCAAGGTGGCGCTCGCCTGGCCGACTGGAGAGGTGGGTTTGTGTGTTGTTTTGGAGGGGGGTGGCCTGGAAAGTCTCTGGAGGGGGGGCCTAGGAGTGCTGACGTCCGCCCATCCATGTTATCGCATGGCATGACGCACACCCTGCAACTCCCTTGAAACACCCACGGCCCACTGCCGTCTCAGGGCGGAAAACGGGTGCGGCACCTCGCGCGCCGCGGAGCGCGAGAGCCGCCGGCTGGGCAAGTGCCTGCTGGCCTACGTGAACGCGCACCACGAGGAGTACGCCGCGCTCTTCGACCTCCTCACCATCCTCTCCACCAAGCCATGTGCGCGGGGGTGGCTGGGGTGTCGTCAGTGGGATGGATCGGGATGCCGATGTGGATGCTGAAGTTCTGAGTGTTTTCATGGTGGGGCCCTGTCTTGGAGATGAGCCCTGGGTCATTGCTCGCCGGTCCAGGCTCTTTTGGGCCAGCATACTCCGTGTAGGACTCCATGCACTCAACCCTCCTGACGCACACGCCTCCTCTGCAGCCGTGGACTTTGGGTTTGTGAAGGAGTACCTCACGACCACCGTTGCCAAGACATACAACACCGAGGAGAAACGCACGGTGGGTAAGGGGGGTGAGGGGAAGGTCTGGGAGGGCGGCGCTGCCTTACATATTGGGATGTGTGCAGGGCAGTCTCGCCGCTCCAATTGGCCCAGCGCCTCTGAGCCTCAGGTGCGCACATAGGTGCAGCTCCATCCTTTCCTCCCTTACTTTATCTCTCCAGATCCTTGTGCACTGGATCAAGCTGTACAAAGAGAGGGCGCTGTCCCCCGACGATCAAGGTGGGAATCAGCGGGGGAGGTCGAGACGCACTCTGTGTGCCGATGCTGGCCCATCCGATGCAGCGGCTTCAGTTCAACCTCACATCAACCCGCTACGAACATTTCCAACCCCGCAGTGAACGCGCTGCGGCACTTCATCAACCCCCTGATGAAGTGGACGCTGGCCAGCGAGGGCCCCGGCATCCTCACCAAGGACATCGTTTCTTCCCTGGTGGCAGACGTCTTCCAGACCCCTGACCAGGGTAGATGGGGTGTCTAGGGTCTGGCTTTGGCTGGCTGGTGGACTGGTGACCCGCATGCTTCTGGCAAACACGGCGGCCGTGAACCGCCCTTTCCCCCTCCCGCAGGCCGACCCAGTGAGCAGGCCCAGCAGGAGCTCAACATGCTGTGCTCCACGCTCATCCAGCATGCGCACACGCTATTCGTGGACCACCGCAAGGAGCTGATCCACTTTGGCTGGTGGGCGAGGGGAGGGGAGGCTGTCGAGGGGGGGGGGTGTAAAGAGGCGTGGTGGTGGACAACCCAGTGGTCTGGAGAGCATCGGTTGGGCAGCCACGAGTGCACCGGCTGGATGGGCATGTGGGTGCGGTTCAGTGTGCACATGGCCCCCAGCCACTGAAACCCCCCTCCCTCCTTTCCAACCCCCCTTGCTGCTGCCTCCAGGTGGGCGCTGAAGTTTGACAACGTGGCCAAGCCCTCCGCCTTCCTCTTCCTGGCCCACTTCCTGCGCGTGTTCCCCACCCCCGAGAAGATCATGCTGCAGGTGTACGTGGCCCTGGCGCGCATGACGCAGCAGGAAAGCGCGGCGCGCGACGTCGTGCGCCAGGCGGTGGACACGCTGCTGCCCATCTTCGACGCGGGGCGCGCGCTGGGCCAGGAGCCGGAGACGCCCCCCTCCGGGGACGCGTCGCTGGTGCCCCTGGCCTTGGCGCCGCGCACCACCAGCGGCGTGGGCGGGCCCGCGGGCGCCGGCGCCGCGGCGCCGCACGCGCGCTATCTGCGCCGCGTGCTGCTGGAGGACGGTCACATCCCGGCCACCCTGGCCCACATCTTCTCGCTCATCGTGCGCAACCACGACCTCTTCTACTCCTCCAGGTGGGAGAGAGTGGGGGGAAGGGTAGGGGGGAGGGGGAGGTCTGAGTAAAGACAAGAAGGGGGGGGAGGGGGGGATTCTTGTATGTGCGCAGAACCCTCACTCGATTCGCTTTGCGGTGATGGGCTCGAGCAGGTGCACAGGGAACAGCATGCGCCGCCCGCGCAGGGAACACATTGAGCACACCAAACGCCCCAACTCCCCTCCATCCGCCTTGGCTGCGCGTGCAGGACGGCGTTCATGGCGTCCATGGTGCAGAATGCCTCCAAGCTGGGCCTGCCCACCAACGCCACGCTGGAGGCCAGGATCCTGGCTACGGACATGGCGGCGGTGCTGCTGAGCTGGGACGCGCGGGCCGAGGCTGAGGCGGCGGCGGCGGCGGCCGATGGGGTTCCTGCGGCGACCGAGGGCGCGACGGCGACGGCCGAAGGATCTGCGGCCGCCGCGAGCTCGGCGGCGGTTGCCCTGCTCGCGCCGCAGGCCTCGGGGGAGAAGGAGGGCTCCGGGACCCCGCCCGAGGGCACGGAGGCGGTGACGGGGGACGGCAGCGCGGGCCAGGCGCCTGCGTCCCGGGCGGCGCTGGTCGCCGCCGCCGCGAGCGCCAGGTGAGGGATGTTTTTGTTTGTCTCGAGAAGTCTGTGTGCCGGGTGGGGTCCGTGTGCAGATGCAGGGAGTCGTCCCTTTCCCTGCACCATCCCCGGCGCCCCTCAGGCGGGGGTTGGCACCTCGTCTCACGCGCCCGCTCAGACTATCCGCCTCCATCCACCCCATGCAGGGACGCCGGCCGACTCACGCCCGGGTCCAGCGAGGTGCTCGTCAACTTCCTGCTGCGCATGGCCTTTGTCAGGTTGGTGTTGTAGGGGGGGAATTCACGCACACTGCTCTTGAACCGCTGCCTGTCCTGGCAATGTGTATGTCGGGCGTGCCCCAGGAGGCCCTGGCGAGCCCTCGACCTCGCCAACCCTGCTCCCTCTTTCCTCCCAGCGCCGGGAGCGAGGGGCGCGAGCGGGACGACGCTGGGTTCCGACGCCTGCACGCCCACTGCCTGGACATCATCCGCGACGTTGGTGCGTGGCCGCAACAGGATTGGGACTCTGCGTGATGCATGGCGTGGACTGGGCGCCTCGGGGTCTGGACGTGGGAGGTACTTGACATTCCTCATGCCTCCATGTCGTGGCCTGTGCACTCCCTGCTGCCCCTCCTGTGCAGCAGCACACCGGGATGTCAACCATGTTTGTCGCGCGTGCCTCCCCACACCATCCACAGCTGATTCCCGACGCCCCCCCCCCCCTCTTCCCCCCCCACACACACAGCCACCTTCCGGCCGGCGGTGACGCTGAAGCTGCAGTACTTTGAGAAGGTGCTGACCGGCAACCTGCAGCAGCACCAGCAGGCCATCGCCAACGCGGCTGCGGCCGGCGCGCCGCCGCCGCTGCACGAGGCGCCGCCCGTGCTGCTGACGGGCCTGCAGATCGCGGACATCTACATGAAGACCCAGCCAGCCAACTTCGTGGCCTGCGGCGCCAACCAGCTGGCCCTCATGCTGGAGCCGGCGCTGACCTGCCGCCAGAGCCGGAAACCTGCGACCCTGCTCGCGTCGTGCATTGGGGAGCTGGTGCAGCGGTACCCAACGCGGGGGACCGCCCCGCTGGACCCCACCGCCGAGCTGGCCTACAAGCTGCTGGCGCGCACCAACGAAGTGCTACACAGGTGGGAGCGGGGGGGGGGGGGGGGTGGGCGGCGCACACACG